TTAATTTTTAAAATGTAATTTTTTAAATGAATGAAACAAAAATTTAAAAATAATGTTTTGAAATGTTTAAAAAACCGTTTTAAAACATGAGTAAATTGTGGTTACCTATATCAAATTCTTTGTTGAAATGAGTATAGTGAATTACCCCATAAAAATCCTGTTGAGTGATTTTTTTCCTATGAAGATAGGGTGGATAAATTATAAAATATCAAGTAAAATATGTCAAGTTTATTTGCTTATATCTGATAGTCAGTGAGAAAACTTCTTCTCAAATTAAAATAGTATTTTCAAGAGAATTCAGCAGTAGGTACAAATATCGAAGAATGTAAATCAACACCTGTAGTAACTTTTTATTTAAGTCGATCTAGAACATGGAATGTATAAAGGTTTAAAAGCATCTTGTGCCAGAAATATCCCAAAAAAGTGTCAATTATAGAACTAAAGAAATAGTTTCACTCCTAAGTTGCCGTAGTGTACAGTTGTAATCGAATATATGAATTTATCATCCAGAATAATTTTTACTTCTGCAATTTTCCACGTATTATATAAAATATTACAAAAATCATTGGAATAATTATGAAGTTATCAATCTTATATATTGACCAAAACAATTAAATTCAAGAAATAACCTCATAGACTAAAATTTTAAATTGACTGAGGTAGGTACTGATAAATATACAATTTTAAATTTAAAACAAGTCCTTTTTCCAAACACCAGAACTGCAATACCTTCATCCCCTGAAGACACGAACTTGGTTGGTGAAACGCTTGTCGAGAAGAGTCTTGCAGTTCCTGTTGTTTGGGAAAAGTGCTTATTTTCGAATTATTGTATGCCAGAGATTACAGATGTATTGCTTTTCACATCTCATAAAGAACATTATTTTCAAAAAAAGTACTACAGTAGAAAGTGTCCAAATTACAAGATTTGGGAATTCAAATGCAGTAGTCATACTGTTAAAAATATCATACTGAATCCCTAGTATAAGTCACACAAAATGATATAACTTTTTTGCCTAGCAAAGGGAAACTAACTGTTGAGGTTAACTCTTCCATAACTTAAAGTGCCATATACCTTCACATATTGTGAGCTCATGAGCCTGAGGAACAAATTTTATTTAAGTACTCTTCACTAGGAAATTGTCAAGTACTCTGATCAAGGAAATGAATAAATACTAGAAAGCAATGACGACAAAATAAAGGAAGCTCCTTTATAAAAAATATGAATTCTATTTTTGTCTTTCAAAAGAAAAAAAACAAACCACCACCTACTAATGTTGAGTTAAATTAGTACATAATACTTATAATTGTATAATCATTTAAGGACTCACCTAAATGATCATCCATTGTTGATAATTGAATGTAGTCTCCCAAGTAAATTCACAGAAATACTGAGTTAATGTTGAGATCACCGTATTTGGAAACAAATTCCTCTAAACAAATCAACATAAGTCAGTTATTTACCTTTCAATGGTGTTGTCTTGTCAGTTGTCAATTTTTGATAACAAGTGACCTTGAGAATAATTTCAATGTCAGTTGCTATTTCTCGTATTATATTTCCTAACCCCAGTTCCCAGTTTTGCTGTTTCGTTGTACTATGCTATGGTGTGTGGTACGTGTTGCACCTTGCACACCTTTTTCGGAAAATACCCAAAAATATTGTACAATTTCAAATCTGATCAATTATTTAAATAAATCAAATCGGCTCATAGATTAGTCTAATAGACGATTTCAGATTAGGATTTCATCTGTCGAGTTTGCTACCCTGATTGATGTCATAATTGCCAGCTGTCATTTGTACATGATGTTTCCAGTATCAAATTTTAAGATTAATTTACTGTTTAAGAGTCACTTCCTTTGTATTCATTTTATCGTCCACATAAATGGGAATTTTGTTTGAAGCACATTTGTTTTTTTGTGAGTTACCCAGTCTTTATATTTGACATTAGTGTCACCTGTCATATGTAGTTGATGCTTAATATCAAGATATGTTCCAAAAGTTATCCGAAATGTGTTTCAGTGGTCCTAGATTATTGTTAGTAACTTTGATAGAAGGATCCTTCAGTTTTTCTTTACAATTGAGTTTCCATCTATATTAATTTTCAAATGAGTTGAAAAAGGAACCTGGGTACATTAGCCCATGGTGAATGAAACTGCAACTGAAGAGGACGAGTAAATTGTATTTGATGAAAAAAAACAAGTTGTCTCTTAATTTCCTTAGTTTTAGAGTTTACTAAGTTTTTACTTGGTTCATTTCTCAATGTCTTTTTTGAAATAGCTGTTTTTTTTCTTTTGATGACTACATTTTGTAGTCATCAATACATTTTCATTTTTTTGTAATGCTCACTTTCCTCATTATTCAACTAATTCATCCAATATTTTCTTTTCACTTTTTTTTCATTTAGTTAATTTTTGTCTGGAAAAACGGAAATATTTTTATAGTGTATTTTTAAAAATATTCAAAGCGTCATCGTTGTTAGATACATTACATAAATCACCATTAACCAAGGAACTTCTCAATTCGGAAAAGTAAATTATTTTTGTGGTGACATTAAACATTTCATTCTCATCTTTCATTATTCAAGGAAGCATAGCCTGAAGGAAAACGGGATTATGGTTTGTATTGAACAAGTATTTAACTACAGGATAGAAATATTCAATTCGATTAGTGTATTTTTTTTTGAAAATGCATTGAGTTCGTTTTTGAATTTTAAAGCACAAAATAAAATTTTCTTTTATTTTCAATTTTGAACAATAAATAATGAAATTTGGAACAATCATGAAATACAAATCAATTCAAACTAAGATTGTAAAAAAAAGGAAAGAAGAAAAAAAAATCACATCAAAGGTGCTGCTTCGTTCCCTCCTGTTCATAAAAGAGGACATATGCCTCATTGCTTACAAGTGATTTTGGCGAAATTGGGAACACGTGTGAATCGTTGTATTCATGCCACGTGCCACTATATGGGTGTCTGCAATATGCTGTGTAATGTCCGTTGTAAGTAGTCCCACTGTGATTTGAAAGTGCATTATAATGCTCTGTTTAGAAGAAGTCTGTACGGGTATACTGCGTATGAAGTTTGATGAAAATAACTAAAATTGCAAAAAAACTTATGGCAAAAACCTACCATTTTTTGAAAAATTTCAACAATCTGTATTTCGAAAACGAATCATTCTTCGTTGAACATTTTATAGGAAAAAGTTGTTTATTTTGACGAGATCTGCCACATACTTAGTTTTTGTAATGTTCTCAGCAACTTCACTTAGCGCCCTAGTAGCTGAGTAATATGCATTGATATAGAAAATTGTAAATATCTCGAAAACGATCACCTCCAGCATTGTTGAGGAGGTGTACCTTTTTTACTTGGAAAAGGTGTGGGAATTAGGTTTTATCATGAAAAGTACCAAAAGTTTACTGTCAAAAAAGTTAGGACAATTTGAAATAATGACAGCGTACGCAGCGCCCTCTAGATGTTACATGAAAATTAATACGAAATTATGATTTCCCACGTCAAAAAATTCCTGGGTACCGAATTTCGTGCAAATAACTTATTTTTTGCAAGAGTTATTTTCAAAAAGCGAACAAAAAAGTTCATTTTCAATACCCCGTATCTTCGAAACGAAGTATTTTCGGACACAAGTGCATATAGACTTTTTTTCTTAAAATTGTCTCAGGAATACGTCACTTGAATATTTTAACGTACTTATGTTACACCCTGTTTGTCTAAAATACCAATAGTAATTTTCTTTATTAGCATAAATAATTGAATAGATTTACTTTTCTGTGAGTAAAATTGATACAATTCTTGAAATAAATGATTACACCATTGTTTTTATTTATTTCGCCTTCATTATATATCAAATTATATCCATCTGAATAATGATAATAATTACAGAAATTTCATAATAAATAGCTGAATAATGGAAAAGCTGAGCCCAACCATCAGAAATGTACTTGAAACATTAAAAATATGTTTGAAAGTCCTCAAGATTTCAGGCCCATAAAATAATAAACACTTTGATCGATTGCAATTCAAATTTACTTCCCAACCTCAATATTGTAACGAATNACATGTCGCGCATACATAGTAAGTGAAGGTTTTTGTTTTACAGCATTTGAAACTCATTTTAATATATAGGTATTTATTTATTTTTCCTCCTAGTCAAAACTTTAGACACGGCACTGGAATGTTTCTGTTATTTTATTGAAATAAACAGATATCTTATCTGCTTCTAAAATTTCTTGTGGTCAGTTTTATATGCACTTTTTTCCAGGTTCTATCAGTTTTTACATGCGAGTTGTTGGTGATACTTCAAATGTTTTTGTTAACCTCTCGTGAACACTTTATGTAACAGATTTGAAAATTAGATCAGTCAGAAGGGCAATATTTGGTTACCACTATTACACAAATTTTTCCAATTAAAGATCACTAATTGAGTCGTTATCGATACAAATCAAGCGATCGTCACACCCGTGTTCACGTTCACGTTTGTATGTAATCCGGTAATCCACGTAGAACCTTGTCGAGCCGTCCTTCTTCTTCACTAACACGACTGGGGAAGACCAGAGGCTGTCAGAAAGTCCGATGACTCCTTCTTTTCCCATATCGCTGACTATCTTTTATCTGTCTCTTCTCTCTTGGCAAGAGAGAATCTTCCAGCTGATTGCCGGATTGGTCAGGCATTCCCAGTGTCGATTCTATGCTGAACCACATTCGTTCTGCCGCCTTTTCCTTCTCCAATGTCGAAGATTTCCTGGTACTTGTTGTTGAGTTTCCCAATTTTAATAGGGGTTTTTCAATTTACTTCGAAATTTATGTATAAACTAAGCTACTTTGAATACTTACAGTAACTGATTTCTTCTTCGCAAAATACTCAAGCGGTTTTTGATGTATTTGATCTTCTACTTATTGAATCCTTTCTAAGATATCAGTTCATATTTTTTAATGGTACAAAATTTCATCTGCTTTAATAAAATATGACCGAAAAATAAAATATTTGTAGAAATTCGTGGAATAGTTATTTAATTGGCCCCTTACATAATTATTAAATTCCCCTACATATAATCAACAGATAAAATATTTTCACAATTCAACAAAACTCTTGATATTGCTAGTAAATTTAAGATAAACCAAATAGATTCACTTCCGTTTCTTCAATTTCTAAGATTTATCCAACTCAATCTGCTTATTAAGAACTCTCTCACTATGAGGATCAGGTTGAGAAAGATCCTTGTAATTTTCATCATCTACAAAACAAATTTCGTGCCCATCTGGATCTGCCAAAATTATCACACGAACAGTAGCTTTGCCAGGAGTGTCAAGAGATATAAGGGGAGTGAGCACTGTTTGTTTGGTGTCTTCAATTTTTTTGTTTAGGATGTCCTGTTCAGCAAATGGAATAGAAAAAGCGATGCGTCCAAAAGCCTTTCCACGATTGATGGACTTTCCTGAAAGAAAATTATATAAATTAGGATGGTAAAAAAAAGAGCACACATGATATGGTATTCTGCGCATAAATTAATTTGAATGAACATAATGGTGTACAGAGAATTTATAACAGCATTGCTGAAACTGTAACAAGAGAAAGCCAGTGATAATTATAATTATCTACCTTATATAACAAATACTACTACCTCAAAAAATACAAAGAGAGAATTTCAAGTTGTGGATAAGTGTAAATAACATCAATAATTCAATTGATTCCACAATATTCTGGACTACCCTAATGTTTGAAGGTTTGTTAAGTATTATACATGTGTTTCAGTGGTCCTA